GCCACCCAGGCGCCCCTGTTTTATTTATTTCTGAGAGAGAGAGAGAGAGAGAGAGAGAGAGAGAGACAGCGTGAGCAGGGGAGGGACAGAGAGAGAGGGAGACACAGAATCTGAAGCAGGCTCCAGGCTCTGAGCTGTCAGCACAGAGCCCGACGTAGGGCTCGAACCCACAAACCGCGAGATCATGACCTGAGCCCAAGTCGGACGCTTAACCAACTGAGCCATCCAGGCGCCCCAGTCTTCATTTCTTTAAATATATTAACTCTCTGGGTAAATTCATCTAGTCCCACCTGTGAAGGTTAATTTTATGATGCCCCATTGTTTGGCCAAACACCAGTGGAGACAGTTGCTGTGAAGGTATTCTCTGATGTGATTAACGTTGAAAACAGTAGACTTTGAGTGAAGCAGATTATGCTTCATAAAGTGAGTGGGCTTCATCTAACCAGTTGAAGTCCTTCAGGGAAGAGATTGAGGCCTCCTGAAGAGGAAGGAATTGAGGTTGCCTTCAGACTCAAGACTGCAACATTAGGGCCACTGGCCTTTCCGGCCCGTCCAGTAGGCTTAGGACTTGCCAGCCCCCACAATCCCGAGAGACTGTTTGTTTCTCTCTGTCTCTCTGTCTCTCTACCTCCTATTGGTCCTGTTCCTCCGGAGAACTAATATATAAGGCATTAACTGTCTTTTATATTTGACTCCCAGATTCTTATTTCTTGCTCTGACTTCTCTGGTAAACTCCAGATTTGCATCCCAACCACCTACTGAGCATCTCCATTTGGATGACAACAGGTCTCTCAAACCACACTGGGGATCTGTCCCGATGTTTCCACTCGCCCCGCTCCTTATCTTTCTTCCTCTTCCTTGAGTGTTCCCCTTCCACTCAACAGCGCCCCCCGTCTACCCGGTTGCCAAGGCTAAAAGTCTGGAGTCGTCATTGACTGTTCTCCTTCTTTTACCTTCCTTATTCCACCCATTGGCAAAATTTATGAGCCTTACCTCCACATATCTCTTCTCACCTCCTAATCCAAGCCTGCATCATCTCTAGTTTGGACCACAACAGCACCTCCCAGGTGGGCTGTGTTCCTCCTAAGTCCCTACCCACCTTAGCCTCTACCACACACGGCAGAGCAATCCTTCTAAGATACAAACTAGATGATTTCCATCTCCTCTCTTGTGACATTTTGGATTCTTATCACATTTAGAATAAAATCCAAAGTCCCATGGCCTTTGGATTCTGACCCCTGGCCACTCCTTTGGCTTCACTACCTACCACTCTCTTCCGTGTTCACTGAGCTTTAGACACACCGTTTATGTCGCAGATCTTTGGACAAGTCAAGCAGGCTTCCAGCTTAGGGCTTTAGTATTTGCTGTTTTCTTCTCTTCCTCCTTCTCCTCCTCCCCCTCCTCTTCTCTTCCTCGATCTCCTCCTCCTCTTTCTTTCTTTTTTAAAGATTCTTATTTTTAAATGCTCTCTACACCCAACATTGGGGCTTGAATTTACAACCTGAGATTAAGAGTCCCATGTTCCACCCACTGAGCCATCTAGGCACCCCTAATACTTCCGGTTCCTCTGCTTAGAAAGATCCCCCCCCAACACCTCAAAAATCTTGCTCCCTCCTTTCACCTTGGTCTTAGCTTAAGTGCCATATTCTTAGATCTTTCCTGACCTCCCTACCCTAATTTCTTCTTCTTCAAGGTACAAAGAATTCATTTAAAGACGTTTGGTCCCCCTGTGAAGGGGAATAACAAAATAGGGAGGTAACTATGATGGTTGGGCACGTGGGATCACAGGAGGCTTTTTTAAAAATGCAAAAACTACTGTGCGCATGGTGTTGGGAATTATCGGGTAGAGAACAAGAAACTGATGATGCCAGAGAGGGAGGCTAATTTCAGGAATGAAGTAATTAAAGATTGAGAAGGCAAGAAGAGATGAGAATCTGTACACAAGTGGAGAAGTCCACCTTCATTAAAATGGGGGTGAAGGCAGGGAATATGGCAGCTTGGTGGTTGGGAGGGAAATAGGATGGCATTCTGTCTGACTGATTCTGTTTTCTTAGGAAGAAAGAAAGCTGGTCATGAGCTAGTGGCAAGGTGTAGGTATATTAGAGGTTTGACAAAAGAGGAAGAAGTATGAAATATTTACTCTGGAAACTAAGGAAGACAAGTATACCAGAGATGCAAAGGACTGTTGGGTAGATTTGGGGACACATTTCAGTTTGCGGTCTTGACTTTAAAGTGAAGTCACTTTTAACTTCTGTTTTCCCCAGTGGTGTTTTGCTCTGTAAGTAGGATACACAGTACGTGGACAGCTGGGTTTAAAAGGATAGACCTTGCCAAGTCAGTACAATTGAGGAGTTTGGACTTTATTTTGAGGGTCCTGTAGCATTACAAGGTTTGAGTAGAGAAGAGTTGAGTGTCAGAAAGATTGTTTTAGCTCAATGTGGTGTGGAGTGTGTGAGAGAGAAACTTATTGTAGGAGGAACAATAGTTTGGTGCAATTAGCTTAGGGCCCTTGATCACACACCTGCATCGATTGTCTACAGTGTGCTTAGATGACGGTTCAGGAATGGAGAGGGTCTTTTCCAGCATTTTCTGAGTACTTACTATATGTAGCAGATTCTGGGAAGACAAGATAGATCAAACAAGGGTTTGCCTTCCCAAAGCCCTCTTGGATTTACATGATTTATAATGATTTTTAGGTATTTGGGATCTCAGAATAGGGACAGAGCTATCAACACTGGGTGGGAATCAGGGAAGCCCTCCCAGAGGAGATGACATTTCAGATGAGCTTTGAAGGGATAGGCTGTAGGGAGGGCAGATTATTTTAGGCAGGGGAATAACATGAGCTCAGTCAAGAGATGTAAGACCTATGTCTGCAACAAGTGCTGCATGATGAGAAATGGGAGGAGATGAGGCACTTCTTCCACTACCCAGAAGCTAGATATAACTAAGCAGGTGTACCTAGGAGCGACAAGGGTGAGGCATCTGGCCCCTTCACTGCAGCAAGGTCTGAAAGAAAAATGAAGGTTTTTTAAAATGGCGATTTGTTTAACTTAAAAACAACAACAACAAACAACTACATGGAGCTACTCTAGGTATTTGTGCTATAATTTGCTCACTTAAGAACAACGTGAAGTTAGGGGCACCTGGGTGGCTCAGTCGGCTAAGCGTCTGGCTTCAGCTCAGGCCATGATCTCACAGTTCATGGGTTCAAGCCCGGCGTCGGGCTCTGTGCTGACAGCTAGCTCAGAGACTGGAGCCTGTCTTCAGATTCTGTGTCTCCCTCTCTCTCTGACCCTCCTCTGCTCACGCTGTCTCTCTCTCTCTCAGAAATAAATAGAACATTAAAAAAAAAGACCATGGGGGAGAAGAAGGGGAAAAATAGTGGGGGAGAGGGAGGGAGGCAAACCATGAGAGACTCTTGAATGCCGAGAACAAACTGCGGGCAGGTGGGGGTGGGAGGGAGGGGAAGGGGGGTGATGGGCATGGAGGAGGGCACTTGTGGGGATGAGCACTGGGTGTTGTATGGAAACCAACTTGACAATAAACTATTTTAAAAAAGAAAATAAATAAACATTAAAAAAAAGAACAATGTGAAGTTAAAATGCCTTATCTAGCCTTTTCTGGTATGCTGTTAGAAGATACTAACTGCAGCTACTCTGACCTGTCATATAAGACTCATAAAAATCAATCCTTATCACTTGGCTTTTAGTACATTACTTCAAGTTATATGATTTTAAAGTCCATCTCCATCCATACCTTTGAAAGAAGCGGGAGGTTCTAAACATCATAGGCATGAGGGGTTTATGAGCCTGATTCATGGGACACTACCAAGCTTAGGCATATAGACAGTTAAGAGAGGTAGGCACAGCAGCCAGGAGATTTCTACCTTGGACTCCTGGCTTCCTTCCCTCTCCTTTGCTCCTTAAATCACACTGTTTCCGGAACACCTGGGCTAGACCCATTCTCTGCTCTAAGGACCCCAGAACGGGTGAGACGCACCTAGGCAAACAACTACCGTGCGAGGAGAGTGTGTCTTCGTGTGTGTCGTGTGTGTGTGTTTGCACAAGTGCATGTGTGTTTACCAAGCCTCTAACTGTGCCTTGGAATGAGCTCCAAGGAGCAAACTGTGGTTGCCTGGCACTTCTGAGAAGGGGCGGTTTCTCGCAGCCTTCAGTAACCAGCAACCCTTTCCCGTGTGTGTGCTTCTGAGGCCAATATCTGAAGAGCTGGGAGAGACATTCATTCATTCCTTTCTTTATTCAGCAAATATTCCTGGTTCCTTACGCGTCCAAGGTGTTGAGTAAGAATATGAGTAAGAGCAGGAAGGATGAGAGAGCGTGGCTCACTTGGGCAGCAGCAGGTGGCTCGGCATGACGAGTTAAATATACTGTTTTCCCTAAAACAAACGTGACAACTCACAACCTGAGTGGGTTAAGGAGGAAGGGTGTAAGGGGAAGTTATGTGTTGGTGAGAATTTGTCACTTTTCAGCATCAGTCAGGATGGAAGAGATGTTTCTTGGAAAAGCCTGGCAGTTGCCTTCAGAGAACTGCCAGACTCACAAGTCCATTACCTTAGGGCAAAGGGTCCCAAGCTTTGCCGTTCACTAGGATCACCCAAGGAGTTGAAACAAAAAACCAAAAACCCTCAGATGCCCGGGTCGCACCCAACCCCCCTTCCCTCAATGTCTGGGGGTGGGGGCGAGGCGTCAGTATTTTTAAAGATCCTCTCGAGATTACAGCGGGCAGCCGAGTTCCGGAGTCACTGCCTCAGGGCACAGCCCAGTGTTTCATTAAAACACACTCCTCTTTGCGTTCTGGTTCCAAACATTCCTTACGTTGTTTTTGCTCTTTCCTCGGGTTGGGGGCGCTCTGAGCAGGAAGAGGATGTGGTGTCACCCAATTAGGAGGTCTCACTCTGCTAAGCCCGTTGGCGTAGTCGCCAGGGCTGCACCGGAGTGGATTTCTGCTTTGTCATTCTGACTCTGGCGGCTGGGCCGCCTGCTCCGAGCAGGGCGTGGCTTGTCGTGGCGGCGGGGAGCCCGCCACCCTTCCCCTCGGTTCGCAGCCGGCCCTCGCAGTCCCTCCGCAGTGCCTCTGCGCGGAAGGTGCGGGGCCGCCCGCCCCAGGAGCCTGGTGGCCCGGCGCTCGCGGTCACGGAAGCGGCGGGGACCCAGACAGTCGGGTAGGGCTCCGAGCCTCTGGGCCGTGGGGCTGGGGACGTGGGCAGCCGCCTGTCGGGTGCACTTCGAATCCCGGAAAAGGATGTTTTAAGGTGTGTCTGAGCAGGGGTGAAGCTTGGTGTAAGGCGGTGCTCTTGCGGGCCGCGTTCGTTGTGTCGCGTGGGTTCGGTGGAAGCCGAGCCTGGGGTAGGGGGCCGGCCGGTGGTTTCCTTCCGCCTCGCTCCCTCTGTAGAGACAGTGTGCAGAAATGTGAGAGAATGGGTGTTTGGATCGTTTCCCACTGTACGAGTGTCGGAACGCCGAGGGTGAGGTGGCGAATGGACGGACAGATCCGCCGCAGCGCCAAGGGAGCATAACAATGTAAGGATGTCCCTTTACACGTTTTCGCACCATTGAATCCCCGGAAACCCCGATTTGGCAAATCGTCCGTACCTCCCTATGGACAGTTCGGGGAAACCGAGAGACACACTCACGTGACTTGCCCCAGGCTCTTCAGCGGGACCGCTGCGTGGGGGTCGCAGCGCTCGTCTCGCTGTGTGGGGCAGTACAGGGTCACGAGCGTGCACTGCACTGCCTGGGTTCGAACCCTGGCCCTGCTGGGCCCACCTAGCTGCCCCGCTCCGGCTCTGCCTGTGTGGGAGACGCGCCGGACGGGACCTACCCGCCAAGAGTCGTTGTTAAGACTGAGTGCTGGTAACGAGCAAAGCATCGCAGAAGTGCCAGCTGCCATTCTTGTCGTCTAGCAGTCGCGCTTCTGACGCTGGTGTGACTTTTGTCTCCAGAACGGGCCGGATGATGGTAGAGTAACTGGAGTCTATTTTTAATCCTCTCTTTGACTCACTCCCTACCTGAGTTCACTCGTTTGTAAAATTGGGCCATTAGCTCCCGGTCTGTCAAGCAGGGTGTTGGTGTACGGCTTCAAGGTTCTGAAATAAAAGAAAGCACCCTAAGAGGGCACAGTGCACCTAATTTTGCCTCGTGGTTTCAAATTTCAAAGAAACCTGGGAAGCTGGCTCTTGGCATTCTTCATAAAGGCCGAGTTCAAAGACGGATTAAATTGGGAGGCGTTTTATAGAAGCGGAGATGAAGGTCTAAAGCCTCCTTCGCGAGGCTTCTGTGCATTGGGGATTTACCGGGATTCGGGGCGTCTGGGCCGGCGAGGCCGCCGGGGTTCGAGCGCGGCGGGACCTCCGGCGGCGGGAGCCGGGGGCGCAGGTGTGCGGGGAAGCGGGGCGGCGGCGGCGGCGGGGGCGGCGTGGTGGGGCCGCGGAAGCCCCGCCCCCGCCGCGCACTTCCCGCCGCGGCTGCGGCGGCGAGGCTGACCCGCGCGCCCCTCTGCTTCTGTGCCGCAGAGGACGCCGGGGGCCTGGAGAGAGCGCTCTCGGAGCTGACCTCGGAGACCGACGTGCCGGTGGTGTTTGTGCAGCGGCGAGAGATAGGCGGCCTCGGTCCAACCCTGAAGGTAGGTGGGGCGGGGGAGGGGGGTGACATTGGCGTTCTGTACCCGCCTGCCCCGGGAGGCGGCCCCCGGAGCCCCCCCCCGCCCCCCCCCCCCGTGCTCGCGGCCCGCCTCTCAGGCCGGGGGTGGATGTGAACGAAGCTCCCAACGGAGCGCGTCCTTAAAAGCGACAAAGCAGCACCAGGGGGCCGGCTCACGTGTTGCTGCAAGTGGCCGAGACGGCGGGTAAATTCGGAGCTGGGCGGCTTGCGAGGGAATGTGTAACTTCTCATCCTCAAAAATACGCGTTCAGAACATCTTTCCCTTCCCGGCTTCCCCTTCCTTCGCGCCTCCGAATCAGTCTTCAAAGGATTTTAGCAGCAGTGTAAACTGCTGAAAAGTGAGTTGTTTGTAGAAGTCCTGAGCAAAGCGGATCAGGAAATGCATTATCTTCGTCGGTCCCTATCTTCTTTCTCTTAATTCTCTAGGGGGGACACCCAGAAGCCCCAGGCTCTGGGGAGAGTAACCTGTAAGCTCCTGGAGTGAGTTCATTTCCCTTCTGCTGTCGCTTTTCTAGCCCAGAGTTAACAATTGGGTGGCGGGAAAGGGAGAAAGAAACGTTTACTCTGACGGGTGGCAGGCGCGGCGTCAGCCCTCGCTTAGGACCCCGCACCGTGGGGCGGAAGGGTCATGGCTAACGTACTGGCAAAATGCTTGGAGGCCCGGTGGCCTGTTGGGAGACAGCGTGGGTGACGCTCTACATCAAGTGTGGTTGGTTACCAGGTTAGAAAGCCTCAGGCTCAGCACCTTGATACAGCTGCTTTGAGCTTTGCTGATTGTCTTTCTGTCCTTGTCTGTCTGTATCCGTGTAATTCTTAAGAAATGGAACTCACACTTGAACGTCGCCTTCTTGGAAGGAAATCTGAGGCCTCAGGTTAAAAGTAAAAAATCTCCCTAGGTGTGTGCATATTTAGGAAGACAGTTAATTTGCATTTTTATTTACTACCTTTTCTTCTAAAAAAACCTTGTTTACCATTTTTGAGGAATGGGTGATGAAATAGGAAGTACAGATAGACTTCAAAGACAAATGGAAAATAATGAAAGGATAAAAAGGCTTAAAAATTTTTTTAAAATGTTTTATTTATTTCTGAGAGAGGGAAAGAGACAGCATGAGCAGGGGAGGGTCAGAGAGAGAGAGAGGGAGATACAGAATCCGAAACAGGCTCCAGGCTCTGAGCTGGCTGTCAGCACAGAGCCCGATGTGGGGCTTGAACCCACGAACCGTGAGATCATAACCTGAGCTGAAGTCGACGTCAACCAACTGAGCCACCCAGGCGCCCCATAAAGGCTTTTAGCTCGATTGAAAGTATAGTGCATTAGTCAACTTCAGTTTGCCAGTAAAATGAGACAAAAGTTCTATTAATATTACTTTCTGTCTGGATTGTTCTGTTTTCTCCACCTGTGTCATATATTTGCACTTAAAAAGTTATATGGCGTTTGACCTTTATATAAATTCTGCAGATGGTTCTGGTTTTAGTATCATTGGGAGTTAAAAGGAATCACTGTTCTTACAAGCTTTGAACCCACTTTATTGGTATGATCTGATGTTTTCAATCCATTGGTCACAGTTAATTTCAGACATTTAGTGAGGTGCAGTGCCAAGATTGAAAAGTATACCACCAAGTCATAATTAAAATAAAAAATATTATTTAACACACCTTTTTAAGGTAAGCTCGCCACTCTACTTTGTATCATTATTTTTGGTTTCTAATGAGTGCTAACACACAACAAAGTAAGGGCCACTGGTTTCAAATGGTTGTGAATTTCTAGCCAGCTGTTGTCCCAGTTTGGGGCTAAGTGGTAGGTTCTGAAAATCTTTAGGGAGCTTTGGGTTTGAGTGGAGAAGAGCATTTATTTAGTGGAGGATTGGATTTATAGGATTAGTGTTATAATTCTAAAGTTCACACCTTAAAAAAATTGGTTAAGATTTTATACTTTAATTGCAAGTAGGGGAGAGGGAGCTCTTTAAAATGCCTGCTTTTCTTTTCTCCCCTTGTTTCTTCCTTTGTCTCCCTTTCCCCTCGGTAAACACAGCAGCAGCAGCAGCAGCAGCAGCAGCGGCACAAAACCTACCTTGCGCTCACAGTGCACTAGGGAAGGCAAGGAGTGAGAAGCCGCTGGAAGGAACTGCTAAGTCTAGCTGACTCCCTACCGGATGATGAAAGCGTTAAGGAAGTGTGTTGCAGGAAACTAGTCTCTGGGCCACCTGCACCGAATCCCCTGGAGTGCTTGTTAAATGAGCATGCCTGGGCTTTACCTGAGGTCTTCTTAAGGGAGCCTTCTGGAAGGGGCTGGGATCTGCCTTTTAATTGATTTGAAGCAAGTCCCCTCAAGTAATTCTTAGGCTAAATCTCACATTTGAGACTTACTTTAACGTAGGAGGTAGTTTGGTCAGGATGGGTTGCTAAATAATTAGAATTGGGGAAAACCAAACAAGGTACTATTTTTTTTTTCAAGGCTTATTCATTTATGTATTTATTTTGAGAGAGAGCAAGTGTGCATGCGAGAGCATGAGCAGGGGAGGGGCAGAGAGAAGGAGAGAGAAACTCAAGCAGGCTCCGCACCGGCAGCACAGAGCCTGTCGCAGGACTCGAATCCATAATCCATGAGATCATGATCTGAGCCAAAATCAGAGTCTGACTCCACCTAACCAATTGAGACACCCAGGTGCCCCCAAAGTACTACTTTTTAATACCCAAAGGATATTCGTTGGAAGATGGCAAATGGTAACTCAACAGGCCAGTAACACTTCACACCTGAATAGAAAAATAGAGGCCAGTGCTGTCAGTGGCCAGGGCTAGAATGTGCAGGTGTGACATTGGAACTAGGGGGCCTACTAAATTCTAAGAACAGTGAATAGAATTCCTGTGCTCAAAGACATCTGGCTTTCATAAACATTTCAGTTCCTTTTTTTCTTCCTTTTTCTTTTAATGTTTATTTAAAAATTTTTAAAAATGTTTATTTATTTTTGAGAGAGAGACACACACACACACAGAGACAGAGACAGAGCATGGGCAGGGGAGGGGCAGAGAGAGAGGGAAGCACAGAATCTGAAGCAGGTCCCAGGCTCCAAGCTGTCGGCGTAGAGCTCAATGCCTCCCGGCTCAAACCCAGAAACTGTGAGGTCATGACCTGAGCTGAAGTCTGATGCTTAACTGGCTGAGCCCCCCAGGCGCCCCAATGTTTGTTTTTTTTTGAGCGAGAGAAAGGGAGACAGAGGAGGGAGGCAGCCCCTGCACTGACAGCAGAGAGCCCGATGCCGGTCATGCCAGCTAAACCCACTGAACCGTGAGATCATGACCTGAGCTGAAGTCGGACACTGAGCCAAATGAGCCACCCAGGCGCCCCATAAACATTTTAGTTCCTAAGGGCAAGATTGCAGGTATACTTACAGGGAGCCTTTCTTGTATGTGAGTCAGTGTCTGCAGGATCCCAGAGATTTGAAACCACTTGTATAAATGCTTGGTGGTGGTATTGAGAGGAAGAGCAAAGTGCATGAAAAAGTGTTTATGGGGATACTGAGTGCAGGACAGAATTAAGACGAGTAGGTTGAGATCATAGTCTTGGGGAGAGAAGACTGACACTGGCAACACGAGACTTCATTTCTTCAGGGTCCAGGTAGGAGAGAAGCCAGACATACGGCAGTGCCCGGGTACCAGGTGAGTTACGGAGGCAGTCGTAGGAGGGGCTCAGGCGCGATCCTGTCGAGCCGAGACTCGGCCCCGCGGTCCTGGCTGTGCGGGTAGACACTCAAGGAAAGGCAGGTTTCCTCCCTTCAAGCCCAACTTCTAAAGTTACCAGAAACCAGACTCTTAATAGACATCAGGAACTGAGTGGTAATTTAATAACTCCCCAACCTTCCCTCTTCTTTCTTAATACTCTGTCAAAATGGGCAGAGAACTTTCTTTTGATTCTTTCCTCTGCTCTGATCCTTCTGGGGAGACGTAGCCTACCTGCTGTGGCCGAGTGGAGCTTGAGGCCCGAGGAGAGGTGGAAGAGACTGGAAGATTGGCTGATGCTAAGGACTAACAAGATTTAAAAGAGGCCTGGACTGTTAGGACCACAAGTAAATTTATCTGGGCCTGATTTATATAGTCAACTGTTTACTAGTTGTGAGTCCACGTTGAGACCCCATCCCCTTTCCTTCTGCTTGAACTGACAGCACATACCTCTTCCTTGCTGTTCATTTTCCCTCCAAGCAGCGCTGCTGCTCTGGGGGTCCTGGCTTCGGACCGCCTCTGGCCTCCTCCGGCGACTCCTGTGCCAGGGCCTGACTGCTTGCTTCTCCCATACGTGCCCACTGCCTGTCAGAGAGGCTTCTGCCCAGGCCTCCCACTTCGCTCTCCCTCCCCTTCCAGTCTGTGTGCGGTTGCAGTCACCTCTGATTGCTTCTTCATGCCCCTGGGTCCGCATCCAGGGTAAAGGGCACACTCCTTAGCTTGGCCTTCTGTGTCCTCCCAGGCCTGGCCCCCACCTGCCTCTCTCGTTAGCTCTGGCTCGCTTCCCTTACCTACCTGCAGTGGGGCTAGCACTGCAGTGGGAGCCCCTAAAATGTCTCTCCGCTGTTCTTCATTTCCGTTTCCGATTTATCTTCCTGTGCTGAGGCATTTTTCCAACTGGCCCCCTGTGTTAGAGTACAAGGCCAGATTTGCCCATTTTTTCCCTCGGTGCTCCCACAGCACCCCCACGAATTCTTATCTCTGGAAAAGGAAGAATCCTGCCAATTATAATTGTTTGGCTTACGTATCAACAGTGGAGTTAGTCTTCTTGGTGCCTAGGATCCCAGGGCTATATTAGAGTTCAAAAAATATTTAAACGAACACGCCTGTTAATGATAATAGCTACCTTTTATTGGATGTCTGCTCTGAATGCCGTAATGCCTCACTGATTAAATTCTCACAGTGGTCCTCTGCAGAAGGTGGTTTTATCTGGGTTTCCAGATGAGAAAAAGGGGGCCCTGGGAA